CTTTCTTCTTCTTCTTTTACAGCTAAACACTCCTGTTTTGGGTCCTGGAGCCACCACAATGACTTATCCCGCATCCAAGATGGCTGCTAGGCGCTACCAGAGGGCAATGCAGCAGTTTAGCAACGCTCTGCAGGATGCAGGTCTTGGTTTGTGGCCCAGGAAACTCATGTAGAAAAAACCATGTAGAAAAAATAAAAATCTTGCTCATGGTCTGAGATGCCTGACATGGACACACAAACAAGTACTGTGCTATAATCTGCAAAGAGTTAGAAAATAGATTAAGTCGAAGGAAAAAGCTTGACTTGCCTTCAGTGGATGTTACTTTAGTGAGGATTAAGATTTCCAACTTTGTTTTAACAAACTGAACAATGTCTCTGGATGTCACTCCTGATCTGTTGTCTTGATGAAAATGACGAGTCATGGTATTATACAGCTTGTCCTGTGTGAAAAGTCTTAGATAACTAGGTTGTGTCCATCAGTCCATTAAATGTTGTTTTGGATGTTTTAAGTGTTAATATTTTTATTTTGATCCTTAAAGTCCCTCAGTCTTAAACTGAATCTGAGTCCTCAGCTGTTTGTCTGTGTGCCACCCAGGAGGGCAACATAGTAGAGACCGTGTGCAAACCTCTTTCTTCGCTGGCGGAGGAAGGTTGTTTCTGGAACTGCAGGACCTTTGGATATTAAAACTATGCAGACGACTATATAGCACTGATCGATCAAAGGAATATACCTTGATCATGGTTTGCTCAGAATTCTGCAGAAGGAACCTTATAACTACAGGTTCTCCAAGGCTGCTGTTGAAACCACACTGAGGGAGAAACTTAACAGCTGATGGTTGTTCCAGAACTGAGAAACGCAGCTTCACTGAGTCTGACCACCTGCCAGGCAGCACCGCTGATACCAATTTGATTACCGACAGTGTGGTAGCACAAGCTTTCCTGTCCTTGGGTACAAACAGGGAACAGAGCCTGTGCTATTGTATTGATAGCATAGACCAGGGGTCCTCAAACTTTTTCCTGTGAGGGCCACATAACTTTTCCTTTCTCTGGTGGGGGCCCAGAGTCAGTTTGTTACAGAAAAAGTGTGACGATTGCAGGAGTGCCTAAATGTAAAAAAATATTGTTTTCCAGAAAGAAGAAGCAAATAACCCTCTCTGGGTTCTTCACAGAACAAAAGTCAGAAAATAAATAATAACACTATTAAAGAAATAAAAAATAACCAAATAATCCTCTCTGGGTTCTTCACAGTAAAAAATCCAGGAAATAACACTATTTATGAAATAAATACCGTATTTTCCGGACTATAAGCTGCATGCCCACATATTTAAAAAAAAAACAGTAAACATACACATGTAAGCCGCAGATATCTCTGCCGCTCTAGGTTTTCCATCCGAGGGTGGCGGACACCGAAAATTTGAGTCATAACAGATCAATTGAATATCACATTTATTACGGTTGACAAAGAAAAAGTTACCAGGTTTAGATTTAACTGAACTGATTACAGTAGTTTCCGAACGGTAACAGTAAAAGTGCTGATCCTTCGTGTCTGCTACTAGCATGTGCTAAATGAAAATGGGCGCTTTCCTTCTTCTTTTTCTCCTTCTTCTCTTTCTTCTTCTTCTTTAGATTTATTGTTGCACTACTGCCATCTACTGGATCCTAATATCTAACCTCAAATTCTCATAATGATCCCAGTATTATTAAAAAAAAAAGAAAAATCTTCTTTTTCCCCTCAATGCTATTTAACTGATCAACAACATTCTCAAATTTCAATTCCCAATTAAAATTTAATTCCGTATTAATGGGCGCTTTCTTCTTTTATTTCCAGTTTTGACTTCCAATGATTCACTTCCTGCTAAAGAGCCCCCTGGTGGATGAAGAAAAATCCAGATATAAGCTGTATGGAAAAAAGGAAAAAAGCAGCGGTTTATAGTCCGGAAAATACGGTATATGAAAAAAAAAAAATCTAAAAGCTCTCTGGTATTGTTCAGGGGGCCGCACCAAATGTGGAGGTAGGGCGGATCCGACCCGCAGGCCGTAGTTTGGGGACCACTGGCATAGACTATCGATACACTGTTGTATTGATAGCCTATGCATTGATAGCCTATGCAGTAATCAATACAATAGTATTGATTGCTGTATTGATAGGCTTCATGATACCCATGAAGGGTAATTTTTAAATATGTGACATGCGCTTTGTGGTGAGAATGGACATGGTTGAACACAGGTTGTGATGAGAAGTGATAGTTTTAATGATGAAAACAAAGAGTGAACAGAAATCCAGGCAGCACAGGTGAGCAGTGAGGCTAGGAACTTAGGCACTGGTAGCACTTCAACAAGTCAGCGATGAACAATGATACGACAGTAGACACACGAGAAGGATCCGACAGGGAGCAGGGGGCACAGGTGAGTTTAAATACACAGAGAGAACACAAAACACAGCTGGGAACAATCAAGGACAAGACACACAGACATGGGGACTAAAGAAACCAAAAAGCAACACAGAAACCTAAATCCTCACATTTATTGAATCTAAGATACAGGTAGCTCTAGATGCTAGATATTTTAAGGTTCCCACATTCCAAAAGATAGCTTTTTATCAATGCATAGTCCACCGCAGCAGGTGATTGACATTCATAAACAGCTAATATTGTTACTTATTAGCTGTTACTTATTAAAAAATTTACAGGAGATTCATTAAAAAGCAAAACACTAGATTATTTTTGGTAAGTTTAAGAGTCCATTTTGTGACTCTTAAACATGCTCCTGATTCACCATTTTGCTACTCCAAATTATTAAATTATCAATGTGGGAACTGATAAATAGATTAAGAATCAAGACTGAATGGCTTAATCAGTCAAAAATTGATAAGACTAGGGCTGTTGTAAACGAATATTCTATCTATCGATTATTCTTACGATT